TAAGAGGAATGTATATTAGGTGTTTACCTATGAAATTGCCGTTTTTTATGAAATAAGTTAACGTAATTTTTTTTTCTATATTTTTATTTCTATTAATTAAAGTATTCACCCATGCAATCGATGGATCTTTGCCAACGCAGTGGCATTTTAATGAGGCTCTTCTTAAAAAAATCGGCTGGACGGGAGGCAACAAATTCTTCAAAGGCATTTTGTACTGCCTCTCGGGCATTGAATTATTTTTTCACACCAAAAAGTTATTTAAATTCAAAAAAAAAGTAGAAGTCTGTAGGTGCAAGGTCTGGTGAGTACGACGGATGAGAGCGAGAGCTTCCAACCCCAGCTCTTGTAACTTGGAAACCGTCTGCTGTGCAGTATGAGGTCGCGCGTTGTCATGCAGTAGCAGCGGGGACGAGCGATTGATTAAAGCTGGTTGCAGACGTGCAAGCTTCTCGTGCATTGTGTACAGTTCTTCACAGTACAAATCTGCAGTAATGTTCATCCCGTTTGGTAAGAAACTGTGATAAATCACATCGGCGCTAGACCACCAAACAGTGGACCATCACTTTACTAGGGGTAAGTTTTCGTTTAGACCATTGTTTAGGTATTGAACCAGCATCCATCTAACTTGCTGAGCGCTCGCGATTGCCAAACAAAATCCATTTCTCGTCACAGGTAACAATGCGGCTTAAAATTAATTCGTTTGTGTTTGTGTGTCTGTTGAGCAGTGCAAGACACGTCTCGACGCGTACTTCGCCGTGGCGATCATTGAGTTCGTGGCGCACCCATTTGTCAAGTGAGTTGAATTTGACGCAAATGGACCAGTATTGTTTTGATGCTAACGTCAAAAGTGCTGCTCATTCAGCCGCAGATTGAGTATCATCAGCTTCCACAGTCGCCTTTAATTGACATTGTCGACCAAAATTATCGGACGATTACTGGGTTCAGTTCTCAGATCGAAATTTCCAAACGGAAGTGGGCAAACCAATAACAGGTGGTACGTTAATTTCTAGCATTGGCTCCGTAAACGTCGTTGACGTTGCGTGCCACTTATGTCGCGTTGCTGCCACGACGGTACTCATATTTCATAATTACTCGAATTTTTAACGTATCCATGATGAGGAAAAATATTCAAATGTGAAGAAAACATAACGCTAATCAATAAACAAATGACTAATTTTGAAAAAAGAATTCCATTTTTTTAAAACAAACTTAATCTGAAATTAGAATTCTTAACCAAACAAGACGAGAAGATCGTGGAGCTGGAAGAAGAGATAGACAAGTTGCGCTGGCATATTATAGGATTATCCGAAGTCTGAAGAGAGGGGGAGGACACGGTAATCCTCAAATCCGGCAACTTGCTCTATCACCGGGAGGGCGACCGTCTGTCCCAAGGAGGTGTCGGATTTATCGTCCACAAGTCTCTCGTTAACAACGTTGTAAAGATCGGGAGTGTGTCGACGAGGGTTGCGTACCTTATACTCAGAATCACCAAACGGTATTCGCTGAAGGTCATACAGGTTTACGCACCAACCTCGGCACACCCCGATGAGGAGGTGGAGGAAATGTATGAGCATATCTCTAGACCCATGCATTCCTCCAAAACCCAATATACGGTGTTAATGGGAGACTTCAATGCAAAACTAGGCACAAGAGAGAACGGTGAGCTGAAATTAGGGAAATTTGGAATAGGGCAACGGAACCCAAGGGGCCAGCAGCTGGCCGATTTCATGGAGAAAGAGGGACTCTTTATGATGAACTCTTTCTTCCAGAAGCGGCCCCACAGGAAATGGACCTGGTCGAGCCCCGACGGTTCGACAAAAAATGAGATTGACTTCATTATGACGACCAGACGACAACTGTTCAGTGATGTCTCCGTGATCGCGAGGGTGAAAACTGGTAGCGATCACCGAATGGTTAGAGGCTCACTGAACCTAAACGTTAAGTTGGAGAGGTCTCGTCTAATGAAATCAACGCTCCGTCCCCCTCGTGCTCTGTTCTAAAGTCCCGAAACCTTTCAGCTCGAGTTACAAAACCGTTTTCAGTTCCTAGAAGACTGCAATGAAGTGGACGATATGAATGACAAGCTTGTGGAAACTGTCCATGCGGTCGGAGTTAAGTTCTGCAAGACCCGCCGCAGAAGAACACAAAAACTCTCCGATCACACTCTTAATCTCATGGCTGTTAGACGGGAGATGAAGCTACATTCTTCAACAGACTTGACAGCATACAGGCATCTGAACAGACAGATCTCCAAATGCATGCGGCGGGACTTACGCAACTTCAATACAGCTCGTATTGAAGAAGCGATCGAGCGGAACCAAGGCTCCAAAGTCTTTGCCAGAGATCTGTCTGCCCGAAAGAGCCAACTGTCAAAGCTGAAGACGGAAGGTGGCAGCATCGTTTCCGGGACACCTGAGATTTTGAGTGAGATTGAGATGTTCTATGGGCAGCTGTACACGTTATCGTTGGAGCCACACGCAAGTGTGAGTAACGATCCAAGAGCGAGTCTTATCCGACACTATTCCGAAGATATCCCGTACGTCAGTCTGAGCGAGATTAGAATGGCTCTCCAGCACCTTAAAAACGGTAAGGCCCCAGGCGAGGATGGAATTACAGCGGAGCTTCTGAAAGCGGGTGGAAGACCGGTACTTGAAGTCCTTCAGAAGCTCTTTAATTCTGTCCTCCATGGTGGCATTACACCGGAGGCGTGGAGCAGAAGTGCGGTGGTCTTGTTCTTCAAGAAAGGTGACAACGCTCTCTTGAAGAACTACAGACCGATTTCCCATCTGAGCCGCGTCTACGTGCTGTTTTCGAGAGTCATTACGAATCGTCTCGCGCGCAGACTTGACGACTTCCAGCCTCCCGAACAAGTCGGTTTCCGAAAGGCCTTTAGCACCATAGACCACACACATACCCTTCGGCAAGTTGTACAGAAGTCCGAAGAGTACAATTTGCCACTATGTCTGGCGTATGTGGACTATGAGAAAGCCTTTGATTCCGTCGAAATTTGGGCGGTGCTGCAGTCCCTTCAGCGGTGCCAAGTTGACTGTCGGTATATCGAAGTGTTGAAGTGCTTGTACAGTAGGGCTACGATGGCTATCCGAGTACAGAACCAGAGTACGAAACCTATCCAATTGCAGAGAGGTGTAAGACAGGGTGACGTCATATCCCCGAAACTCTTCACCGCTGCATTGGAAGACGTTTTCAAGCTTCTGGACTGGAAAGGATACGGTATCAACATCAATGGCGAGTACATCACTCACCTTCGATTTGCCGACGATATAGTCCTTATGGCAGAATCGCTGGAGGACCTAAGCACTATGCTCAATGACCTCGATAGTGTTTTCCAACGGATAGGTCTTAAGATGAACATGGACAAAACAAAGATCATGTTCAATGTCCATGTCACACCTATGCCGGTAGTTGTTGGGAGCACTAAGCTCGAAGTTGTTGACGAGTATGTTTACCTGGGACAAATAGTCCGACTAGGTAAGTCCAACTTCGACCGAGAGGTCAATCGACGGATTCAACTCGGCTGGGCAGCATTCGGGAAGCTACGACACATCTTCTCGTCAGACATACCTCAAAACCTTAAAACGAAATTGTACAACGAGTGCGTGTTGCCAGTGATGACTTACGGAACTGAGACGTGGTCCTTCACTGCTGGCCGTATGAGGAAGCTCAAGGTCGCTCAGCGAGCTATGGAGAGGGCTATGCTCGGAGTTTCTCTGCGTGATAAACTTAGGAATGAGGATATCCGCAGTAGAACCAGAATAACCGACATAGCCTAACGGATTAGTAAGCTGAAGTGGCAGTGGGCCGGCCATATAGCTCGAAGAACCGACAACCGATGGGGAAGAAAGGTTCTCGAGTGGCAGCCTCATACCTGTAGGCGAAGTGTAGGGCGTCCCCCCACGAGATGGAGTGACGACCTGGTATGACATGCAGGAAGTCGATGGATGCAGGTGGCTCAGGACCGTGTTTTGTGGCATTCTTTGGGGGAGGCCTATGTTCAGCAGTGGATTTGTGAAGGGCTGTAATGATGATGATGATGATGATGAACCAAACAAAAATTATTTTGATTTGAAATGGCCAGTTAATGCAGAACGAAATTTCATAGGTAAAGACCTATGAAATTCCGTTATTATTGTAGGTAATTATTATAAAATTTTAGAATATTTTTAAAATTTTCTATAATCCGGTTAATAATGAACAAAATTTAGGTCTCTGGCTGTTAATATCGAAATAACTGATTTATATTACTCTAACGGGGTTATTTGCACACCATCAAAACATGAAAAACTATTCTTAAGTCTCTCTTTCTCTGTCCGCTAGTCTTCTAAATAGCTGAACTGATTGAAATTAAACTTCACGTACAGATAGAGAGCAAAAACGAAGAAAAATTTGGAGGTTTTTTTGAATAATTTATATAATAAATGGTCCTTGATTGAACTATAAATATCGCTACGATAGGACGATAGACATTTTTTGTCTTTATATTATGATATATTAAAACATGAAATTCGACCACTTGTATAGACAGAAAAAAGTTTTTCCTCTTTTAGATACATAGAATGAGGTGCCACCAATGCCAAGCTTTGTCATCACACGGTAGTGTGTCAGCCAAGTTCGGAGAAGAAAAGGGCAACTCACCGACAGTAATGATGCCAAGCTCCATAGCTCGAAGAACGTTGTAGGTACATTCCTATAGATTTTTAAACTCTTTTATCGCCGAAGCCGACAACCCTGAAATTCATTTGTACCGAACTTGGTCCCCTATTCACTTTTATTTTATGGTGGGATAATTTTTAGTAATATGCAATGAACATTTCTCAGATATAGATATTGAACTTGTACTTGTACCTAATGACCTATGACGACTGTTGATAACGCAATAGCATTTGTACAGATAATTTGTAGCAACTTACTTAGTTACAGTTTGAGAGTACGGTTCTGTAGTTGCGTTCAATAATAGTTAGGTTACCTGATACAAAATAAAGATGTCATCTCTTACTATTATCGATGTAAACGAGTTAAGTGATGGGCAATTTGAATCGGTGTTTGGGAATGTAATTGAGCATTGCAAGAGTGCTTCGACTAGAATTAAAAAACAGCGTCCGTTTAAAAACGTCGAGGAACTTTGTGAAGCATTTCAAAAATATTTAGACGATATAACCGAAGAAGGTTAGGTAGTTTTAAATTCGGTTACAATGCCTATATCTAAGTTGATAATAACTCTGTACAACAATGAATTGAGAAAAGTAAAAAAATCTAGTTTATTATACAAAGATTATACTTATTAATAAAGGAAGGTTAATATTTACTTTTTTAAATTTATATTATCTTATTTACAGAAAAACTGGAAATATTAAAATCTCATCCAGATCTTGCGGGGCGTTTGGCGATACAAGGCGAATTGACTCCAGAATCAGCCGAAGAACAACGTAGCGCTGGCTTGAATGATCTCACTGCAGATCAAAAACGATTATTAGACTCACGAAATAAAAGGTAAGTAATATAGATAGCTTAATTTAAAGCTAGAAAAAAAATCTTCAAATAAAAACTATTTTTTTTATCTTGTTTCGTAATTTATGCATGATGCTTACATAAATATAGGCGCAGAGATGCCATCTCTGTAGTGCTGGCCGAGTTAAAAACTCAATCGCTAGTACAGTTTCAAATTAGTTTTGGAATAAGATACTAGATGGTGTTTTAAGAAATAATAGAACGACGTTCTAACTATAACGTTTAATAATATTACGCTCGGGGCTAATATTACGCTCGCTAGATGTCGCTAGTGGGCAGTGTCATTATCATTGAAAAGTTGCTATTTAAGGTGAAACATACGGTCTGATCCCGGTCATATTCCCGCGAGATAGCGCTGAAGAAGTGGGATTTACTATAGAATGCTAAAATTTTATTACAGTCAAACAAGACAAGGAAGTTTGGCATCGCTTTTTTTTCATGCATCTAATTCAAGGTTAGGAAGTACGGCATCGTTGCATAATATCTACCTACAAATAATGGTATTTGTTGGACAACAATATCGTCTGCACACCATCTAGCGTGTCAATGTTTAAACTATGTTTTGGCGCTTTTGCTGGTAGCGTGAGTGAATTTTGACCAATTTTGACAACTTGAAAAGCAAAAGCAAAAAAAGTCAAAATTTTCCTAAATTTCACTATTGTTTTTCTTAATAAATACTGTAAGTTATTCCTAATAAGGTCAATTGCGAGCACATTTCAGTATAGAAAAGTGATAAAATTATTAGTTTTATACAAATAGTGTCTGTGTTTAACGTATATTTCAAAACAAAAATGTATGGCGCGACTATCGGAGGATAACCCCTAAAGGTGGATACTCCATGGTGGCCCGCGAAATTCGAATTTTCTTGCGTTTTTTGGATATTAGCCCTTTTTCTGGAAAACTTATTCAAAGGGCTAATATGAACTTACAGGGTTGTATTGGTGATTTTAATGATAATAATTCTGTAAACACATAATCGCTACGGTCGCGAATCATATTTTGTTAAATATACAACCTAACCCTGACCTGCAAATTCCAAAAAACGCAAAAAAAATTGAATTTCGCGGGCCACCCTGGAGCTATATAAGTTTTTCCGTTTCTAGTGTGTATATATCACAGTTTTTTTTCATATAGGAAAATATATACACAAAACAATGCCTCTATTTTGTTAATTTTTCTTACAAATTTTTAATTTTTTATATCCTTAGTTTGGTTTATCCACTTCTAATGTAATTAATCAATTAACGGATTCAACTCGGCTGGACAGCGTTCGGAAGATCCCATCCTTGTCGTCAGGCATACCTCAAAACGAGATTGTACAACCACTACGTGTTGCTATGGATCTGAGACGTGGTCCTTCACTTCTGGCCGTATGAAGAAATTCAAGGTCGCTCAGCGAGCTATGGAGAGTGCTATGCTCGGGGTTTCACTGCGTGATAAACTTAAAAATGAGAATATCCCCAGTAAAACCAGAGTAAATGACATAGCCTAAAGGATTAGGAAGCTGAAGTGGTAATGGGCCGGCCATATAGCTCGAAGAACCGACAACCGATGGGGAAAAGAGGTTCTCGAGTGGCAGTCTCGTACCGGCAGGCGAAGTGTAGGGCGTCCTCCCACTAGATGGACTGACGACCTGGTAAGACATGTAGGAAGTCAATGGATGCAGGTGGCTCAAGACTGTGATTTGTGGCATTCCTTGGGGGAGGCCTATGTTCGGCAGTGGACTTGTGAAGGGCTGTAATAATGATGATGATGCATTTAATGATTATAAAATATAACTAATATTTCAGAAAGAAAGATCAATCTACACTTTTCTAACAAATCAATTTCTGCTATTAAATCTGTCAAATATTTCACCTCATTTCTTTGTCCTCATAATTGGCGCCGCCCTGGTGGCAGAAAAAGTCGTAGATCGAGCCCTCATTCTAAAGTATTGTTTATTGTTTCTTAATCAGTTGGAATTCAGATTTTGGTTTATAAGAAACCAGCGTCATAAGCATTGTCTTAAACATGTGGGTTTGCACTAGAACTGCTTACTTTTATCTATAGGTAACTACATACTTTCGTATTTAAAATATTAGAGTGGCAATACTTTAGCAGTCCACATACGTAGGACACTCAGTAAGTTTTAAGATATACAAAAAGTATTCTAGATACCATTAATATTTATTTTACATCTTTTCAAAATATTCTCCATTATGCTTTATACAAAGTTCCATTCGCCTAAACCAACTCTGAAAACGCTTTTGCCAGTCTTGATCTGACGTACTAACGTTGTAGTCTTCTCGTTGACTGGTCGCTTTCGAGCGGTATGACATTTCTCGACCCCATTCAGCAGCTTCTTTCTGAGTCACCACGGACTCACAGAATAAGGATACAACCGCTGCTGCTCAGTATTATATTTAAAATACTTGGTGTGACTACAAAAACAATTACTTATCCAGGCATATTTTATATTAGTCAGGGACGGAATAACTTACAGTTCACTTGATGGTAAACGGCTACTGCAACATATAGACACCTGAATTACGCCAGGTTTCAATTCCAAAAAAAGCTACAAATGCCTCGCCACTTTTGGGGCCTGATATGTCTGAAATGTCTCATTTTTTATAGTAGAGAGGGCAAATGAGAAATTTAAAAAAGAGTAGGCTCCTTTCTTGAAGGTCCCTAAGTCGTATTGGTCCGGAAAAATCACTGGTGGTAGTCGATTCCGCAAGGAAGTTGTGCGAGGAAGAAAACTTCTTTATATCGTACATTAGTGGGCAATCATCCAGATCTGATGGTATCGCGAGTTTTGTCGCGATGTGTGAAGGTGAAATTGAGTGGCTGGAATTAGTCCGAACAATTCCTCAGAGCACTCCCCGTGTTAGATGCGATAAAATACGCAAAGGTTGAGAGTCTCATTGATATACTGTTTCTCTTACCCTTTAAATTGGTTCTCAACAGTGAATGCACTGAGGCGTAGTGAGTTAGTGACAGAAAAAGATGCGAGTGTGAGACATACTGAAATGTGCTTCTAATTAAAAAAGAAGCCCTGCTGCTAGTAAAGAATTTGAAAGTTTCAAATATGTCGCATTTATGTCAAAACTATGATTACATATTTTGTAATTTACAGGTAAAGATAAAAGATAAGAAATTCTAAGAAATTCAGATAATAAATTCTCAGTAGCGGCCCGGAATCAGAAAGATGGCGGTGTCTCACTCCCGGGCCTCGGAAAGCACGTAAAGCCGTTAGTCCTGCGCCTGATCTCTCTCCGATCGTGTCGGTTTACCGTCCCATCGCACTATGAGAGTGAGGGAAATAGAGTGCAACTGTGTTTGCGCTTACACGTTGGCACTTTAATCCTGTCCTGCGCCGATGCCGTGGCTAGTCTCCGTTGAGGCTGGCTGCCGTGACCGAAATTAGGTCTGGAGGATGGATAATAATATATTATTATTAATTTACAGATATAAATCAAAATTTAGCTTCCCGTTTATAATTTGTGCCAGAGAAAATAAAGTACAGTCAATATTGGAAGGTCTGGAGTGCCGGTACAACAATGATTATGAAGAGGAGATTAACACGGGCATTAACGAAGTGAAGAAAATATGCAAATTGAGAATCCTCGACATAGTTAAAAATTAAATAGAAAAAAAAATACGCATGAAAAATTCTATCAATTCCCTTTGAACATTAAGATTAACTTTATTATAACACAACTTATTAAAAGTAGAAACGAATAAATAAATGATAAATTTCTTCTATACTTTTTTCCTTTTTTAAAGTTACCCTAAGATCATCATCATCATCATTACAGCCCTTCACAAGTCAACTGCTGAACATAGGCCTCCCCCAAAGAATGCCACAAAGCACGGTCCTGAGCCACCTGCATCCATCGACTTCCTGCATATCTTACCAGGTCGTCACTCCCATCTAGTGGGGGGACGCCCTACACTTCACCTGCCGGTACGAGGCTGCCACTCGAGAACCTTTCTTCCCCATCGGTTGTCGGTTCTTCGAGCTATATGGCCGGCCCATTGCCACTTCAGCTTACTAATCCGTTGGGCTATGTCGGTCACTCTGGTTCTACTGCGGATATCCTCATTTCTGAGTTTATCACGCAGAGAAACTCCGAGCATAGCCCTCTTCATAGCTCGCTGAGCGACCTTGAGCTTCCTCATCAGGCCAGCAGTGAAGGACCACGTCTCAGTTCCGTATGTCATCACTGGCAACACGCACTGGGTGTACAGTCTCGTTTTCAAGTTTTGAGGTATACCTGACGAGAAGATGTGCCGTAATTTCCCGAACGCTGCCCAACCGAGTTGAATCCGTCGATTGACCTCCCGGTCGAAGTTGGACTTACCTAGTCGGACTATTTGTCCCAGGTAAACATACTCGTCAACAACTTCGAGCTTAGTGTTCCCAACAACTACCGGCATAGGTGTGACATGGACATTAAACATGATCTTTGTTTTGTCCATGTTCATCTTAAGACCTATCCGTTGGGAAACACTATTGAGGTCATTGAGCATAGTGCTTAGGTCCTCCAGCGATTCTGCCATAAGGACTATATCGTCGGAAAATCGAAGGTGAGTGATGTACTCGCCATTGATGTTGATACCGTATCCTTTCCACTTTACCCACAAAGAACAATTTCGCCATCTTACTTCCTCGTCAGGCCGTCACGTCCACAGCTGGGCCTCTTCCATTGCAGGGTCACCGCCACATTTGGCAGGCGGTCAGCTTTGGCTAGTAATCTTTCGGTCACCAGATGTCGCTAGTTGGGACTGAGGTGAAGTTATTTGTTTACACAATGTTATTGCAATTGGAAAGTTGCGATTTAAATTAAAAGTTTATGGTTGCTAGAGTATGTAATTAAACGAAATAAAACCTGTGGTTTTGTTTACAAAAAAGTATATTTTAGTATTAAAGCTTTTACAAAAAATTATTTCGCAAATATCCGCGTTATAAAATAAAATGATGTGTCTTACCTAGTATGAAGAGCACCTCCCGCCCTCCCTCAATTGCGTGCACTATCTCCGTCACCACTAATCCCAGCACCCGCTACTCCCAACACCACTACACTAGGCAAGACATACCACTGACGATAATACGACACGTGTTTCGCCTCTACACGAGGCATCCTCAGGTGATATAGACTCTACGGTGGCTAACCGCTAAGTGAAAGCGTAAATTTTTCTAAAAGCTTTTATATAATGGATTTCCGCAAAGTAACGCCTGATGTTTTATATGGGGGATGCTATGTTGTGATGAATGTGGTTGCGGAAAATAGATTTTTTTAAATCTTTTTATAGAAATAGGGCAACAAACGAGCACACAGTCCACCAGATGTAAGTGGTTGCTGTGACCTATAGACATCTATCCTCAATACAGAATCAAAATGCAGATCAGTTGTCACCTGTGAGGACTAAGATGGAATGCCTCTTTTCCAGTAAAAAGGGTCTCCGGTTCTCTACACTCACCATAGGAAACAGAGCAGCATTACGCTGCTATTTTACGCTGGTATTCTGTGAGAGCGTGGTCCTTCCCTGGTCGAGCCGACCCATTCGTGCTACACTACATATAACTGCAGCTTGGCTCTACCACGTAAGATTACCAAGTAAGTTACATAAATATTCCAAACTTGTAGAAAAATAGGTGTTAGGATGCTGGGCTCATGTATCACTGGTCCATTACATATATTCAAAATGGTGCCACAAAACAGATCCCATGTACATGCCCTTGGCAAGCACCACTTTTAAGAGTTTTTGGACTGCGCGGTATCGTGTCTTCTCTGGTTTATTTGTTATTGATTTTTTATTATCATCGGTAAATAGTGATATATTGAACCGGTTTATCAAGTTGGTACAATATAATGTTAAATAGTAAAAGAGTAGACTTATTTGACGTGCGATGGCGGCGGAAGAGAATCCCTGACTAACGTTTCGTCCTTTAGGTGTCCTAAAAGGCGATATAAAATCTTCTCTGCTTCCGTTAGACGGCGGTAAGACCATCCCGTTTACGCCACACGTATATATTGTAATAAAAAAGACAACAATCAATAAGTATTATTTGGGGAATAAAAGAATATTACTAATGTAATAATTTAAATTCGAATTATTTATATTATATATTTTAACTAATTCTTTCATTAGAAAAAATTGCTAATTTACTATCAAAAGGTTTAAGAGACCAGTATTTGCTTTCAGTCATCTAATGATGAATAATTATTAATTCAATTAATAAAAATTTTAATAGAAATTCTTTCGATTACCATAGATATATACTATTATACTATTTATATATAAACTTTTAATTTAAATATAGATAAACTATTGCACTATTTTTTTTTTGTGTACAATACTGACCGGTGACGGGCAGCAGTGTCAATAAGGGCATGAACGACTTTTACTACCACCAGGACGTCGCCACTTAGAATTGAGGTGAAATATTTGACAGATTTCATAGCGGGAGAAGTTAATTTGTTAGAGAAGTGTAGAAATTAATGTTTCTTTCTGAAATATTAGCTATATTTTATATTAATTAGATTAAAATTTATAAATCATACCGCGGATATTTCTAAAAGTAAAATAATTAAGAATATGGAAAAAAGTTCAAGTACACTGAGGTGTTGTTTTGTGTATTTAGGCGTATACACAAGAAATCTATTTTTTTTAGATACAAAACGCAACTTTTCACATACAGTGATACTGTGTACCTACTTCAGCTCGGTTTCAACTAGCGACATCTGGTGAGCGGTAAATTATTAGCCCTCATTGTACGACACGATGCCAAGCTTGACTATTACAGGAAATCCTCCGTGTTACGGCAGAGGCCTGTAGCGACACTGTACTTAATGATTATTTAATGTGGCTGTGTTGTGGCGGTGTATGAATGTCTACCACTCCATACCATCCCGTGGGTGTAAGAGTCGACGGAGGGAAACAAATCAGATGAGCAGCAGTGTCTTCTTAATAACGATTAAACATAAAAAAACTGTGGTTGCCAAGCGTTGCAACTATGGTAAATATCCCCCCCCATGAGGCAATCTGCGAGAGAGGTGTATGTTTCAGCAGTAGATTTTAATAGGCTGTAATGGTGTATGGTAGCGCAGGGGAATAAATGAGTAGCTCTCAAATGGGTTGGACGCACGCGCTCGGACACCATATTCTTTTATTTTATGAAACTTCTGCAGGCTAATAAAGAAAAATTAGGCCAATGTAGAATGTTGCAACACTTCACTTAAACTTTCTCCAATCTAAGAAATTCTCTATATTTTACTAAGAACTTTTGTCTTCTTTAAAACTCATTTTTTGTAGTATATATAATACAAATAAATAAAATTGAAGTGTCTGTTTGTAATGTCAAAATAACAGCTTTTTACTAAATGCGTATGAAAGTATATACGGTACTTATAACAAAAACACAACTTTTAACATTTTTTTTCTGCCTGTCTGTTTGTTCCAGCTAATCTCCGAAACGGCTGGACCGATTTTGATGGAATCTACACTGGCAGATAGTTGATGTTATAAGGAGGAACTTAGGCTACTTATATTTTAGAAAAATAATTAGGGTTCCGCGCAACATAGTTAAAACCCTAAATTACACGCGGGCGAAGTCGTGGGGAACAGCTTGTTTACAATAAGAGTCCAAGAGGAGGTGTCATCACAATGAGAAATGACTTCGAGTGGCAGACTCACTGGCAAATGTTGGTTGACTACATTATTGTAGTATTCAGCAGTAAATTAAAAAAGAGATAGTAATAAAACATAATATACATCACTTTGTATATTTTAATTTAAAAAGTGTGTACATTTAAAAAACGTAATGAATTAACTGTTATAGCAAGCCAAGTGATCTTTCCACTACAGCATGAGGCTGGCCAGCAATTTCACAAAGATCTGGCGTGTTAAGAATATCTTCAAAACCAATATCCAAATACCGTCCAGTAATTACATCATGCTGAAGGTTTGAACTGGGAAGAAATGGTAATCTGCCAATCTGGAAATAAAAAATAAGAACTTATTAAACATATGGTAAATTTAGGATCTTCAACTCAAAAAATCTTACGAACAACATCAACAAATTAAAATAAAATAAGGAATATGTTTTCTGCGCCTCAAACATGAACACATAAATATGTGATAATTAGCACATTTATTCTTTGTGTCTTAACAAGGAATACATTTATGTATCTATAGTTAAACAAAAACGTCTTGTATGATGCAAAAGTTTGCTACATTGTTCGTCATGCATACAGCAAAGGAGTGGAATAAGTTAGTAGCGTCTGCCTTTCCATCCGATTACAATGTGGGTGTCTTCAAGGTAAGAGTGAATAGGCTTTTGTTAAGTTATCACCTTAGGCTACATCACCACTTACCATTACATGGGATTGTAGTTAACCGCTGGCATAAAATTGTTAAAAAATATAGTGAAATATTGGTTCTCGGTTTCTTTGATCTCACATATGAAACTCGTATCCATCTGGAGAAGGTCGATTATATCAAACTGCAGCTTTTTTTTTTATAGGAGAGGGGGCAAACGAGCATGCGGCTCACCTGATGGTAAGGGACTATCGTCGCCCATGAACAACTGCAACACTAGTGGAATTGTAGATGCCTTGCCGGCCTTTTAAAAAAGAAAGCTCTTTTCTTGAAGGTCACTAAGTCCTATCAGTCTGGAAAAATCGCTGGTGATAATCGATTCCACAAGGAAGTTGTGCGAGGAAGAAAACTTCTTCTAAATCGCACAGGGGTGGACTGCTAATCATACAGCTGGTATGGATGGTATCACGAGTTATCACAGTTGATAGTGGAAGCAGAGGTCCATTTCAAACTACGTCTGAGCTGCATTGGCTTTTGATGTTAGTTTGGAAACAATATTAGATAATTTGACATCACAAGAGGCCCCCATCCAAGCTTGCGTAATATGACTGAATCGGTAAACGGAGGGAATTTTGAGTGAAATTGCTACTCGCGATGAGAAGTGCACTTTATACATGTGGCAAGGCTTCATCACAATGATAAGATCCAGGCGCCCAAGCAACACAGAGCCCCAAAGTAAAGATTAGCAAGAAGAAGCTAATAGTGACGCTTTGCTGGTAGATTGATGGTGTTATTCACAAAGTTTTCTGCCATCTGGTGCCACAGTTACTGCTGACCATTATTGTCAAGAATTACAAGTAATGGTGAAAAGGTGCCGCTTAAACAACCCAGATTGGTGAACTGTTCTTCGCCATTACTATTCTAAGTGAAGAGTAGTGAAAACTAGAATTTTTTGAAAAAATATCTTTTAGTAGAAACATTTTAAGTGTTGTAGCCTTTATAGATACTTATATTCTTCATATTATGAATTAAATGTACAACCAGACTAATGAGGAAAAGCAATATTAACCCTTTCGCTGTCCTGTGCACTACATATACGGCACTGCTATTGTCTTACTATTGTGTCTGGAAACCGGACAGTGAAAGTGTTAAATTTTTTTTTGTAATGTGATAGTTTAGTTAGCCGGGTTGGGTTTACAATCAAGTCGCCTGAATTTGAGGAGTCTGTCACTGTGGGGGGAGGGGGGGGGGGTGTCAAGTGGGCGTATTTTACTAAGCGCTTCCATGCAATTTTAGCTGCTGGAGCTGCGTTGAAATATTTAAAATCATTTTCTAAAAATATTCATAAACCACTAATCAATAACTAAAACAGAACTTAAATTACTCTAAATTCTTACTTTTTTTAAATTTTTCAAGTAGAAATTTACAGTGACAGATATAATCGACTTCGCGACTCGCCTCATAAGTGTCATTCCGACTTAAAAATATAATTACAATTATCCAGAGAATTTTGGTGATGCAATAGTGGAGTACTTGTGGAGGCGGAACATTATGAAATATAATAAAGATCCATTTTTGGAAATGGTGGAAGTAATTAAATATGTTTACTTATCAAAGTAATTATAAAAGTTAACATTGTGGTGTTTTATTTGGTGCAAGACCGAGCCAAACCGGGCTCGGGACTTGGGGCATCCTGACTTGGACAGGTTAGGGTAGAAGGGGATGATGATGTAGATGAGCGAGCAAACTTTTTTATTTTCAACATTTAATACAAAAAAACTGACACATCCAGCGGGGGAAAAAGGTGGGGTGCCTCACTATTAAGCAACTTGATTCTAAACCTTAACCAATTTGCCTACCAATCATAGATACTGCAAAAAAATTTGGAGATTATGGATTATCGTCAGTAATGTTTTTAACACAAAATTAGTAACAGATCTGACATGTTAAAAATTTAATTTGCATGCTGTCCTTATTACTGACTTCATTAGGTATTGAACAGTTTTCGTTTATATATTATAAAGCTCTGTGCCAACTTTATATATAAAGTTTTGACATAACTGTAATTAAACAAGTAAAAGTTTATAAAATTTATGAAAGTTTTTTGTTTTTAATCATAAAAATGCAAAATGCAAAAAGCAACAAAGCGATGAAAAGAACAGAAAATTCTTAGCTTGGAGGTGACATTTGTTACAATTTTGTAATTGTCTTTAAACAGGATTAAATGATATGAAAGAAAAGAAAAGGACTATATTACTATACTGTGCCAAAAACAGTTATATTGATCACACATTACTTGTATCTTTATTATGCCGTTGATTCCTGTCATTACAATGCTGATGTGTGCTGACTTCCCTATCTTGCTGTAGTGAAATAATATATATAATATTACATGCATACCTTTTTAGCAAATTTCATTTCCATTGTGAGTTTCAGTGGTGCATGAAGACCTTGGATATTACGCAGCATTGTCATATTCATTTTTTCTTCATTTAGGTGATACTGTAATAATCATTGTATTTTTATTGCTTTACTGAATACAACTGTTGTTTTATAAAAGTAAAGTACACAGCCTACATTGCAAAATCTATAGCACAAGCCTTCATTCATTGTTGCTTATAAGCAGTTAGTTTTGGAGCATATATATATATATAGCCCACCAGATATGCCCATATGTGTTGGGTCAATGTGGTTGAAACATGTCATTGAAATATTTAAAATTTCTTTGACATATAGGTTTGCTCACAGTGTAAGTGTTAAATCAGCACTTAAAAGTGCTCACAGAATACCAGCGTAAAATAGCAGCTTAACACTGCTGTGTTTCGTATGGTGAGTGTAGAGATCTGGAGACCCATTTTACTGGAAAAGAGGCATTCCATCTTAGTCCTCACGGGTGACAATGCATCTGTGTTTTGATTCACAAACAAGGATAGATGTAGCTGTCTATGGGCCACAGCTACCACTTACCATCAGGTGGACTGTGTGCTCCTTTGTCACCCTATCCTATAAAAATACATTAAATAAAAATTGTTAATAACAATCTCAGTTGTACCAGTAGGGATGAACTTTGACTGCTTACATACTATGAATATCAGTATGTCAGTAATTTTATCTAAAGGAATTGATATATTGAAGTTTATACCTTTTATATAGAAGGCGGGTCAATAATTAGGTTCACAGAATGTACTTAAGTAATTATTACCTTCAGCTTTTGTATACCTATCAATTTTTAGTCTAATCTATACAGATACAATATTCAAGAGCTGAGGGTAACCTAGGATAAGTAAGTCAAGCACTTCAACCCCCCTCCCCCCGTGATGGGTGTTGTAAAGCACTCAAAACATGGATTGAAACAGAAATTAAAATAAGTCAAATGAAAAGTAATAAAAATGTAAAATTACTTATCAAAGTTGCATTTCTAAATTGGTCTCTATATTATTTTAAAATTAACTTCAGTGGACACTGTACACTAAAAAATATACTTAATTATATATAAAAAGGGGTTGATTTATCAAGTTCTGAATGTTTCTGACCTCTTAGCCCCATTCAATTAATATTGACAAAGGACAATTATATTTAGTGATATAATAATACGCGATGACTTACATTTCTTTCGGAGGCTTCTAAAGGATGTGACATGCCTAATTTTGGTTTTGTTGTCCCAAGACCCTCTACAAATGGGTTCGGAATTCCAAATGGTCCATCCTGAACTTTCATGTCGCTAGCTGGTTCAGGTTTTACTTTAAGTGGCGGTAACCCAAAACTCTGAAAATAATGTTAAAATAATGTTGAATTAAAAAGTTAGTAACCTATTACGTGCTGTTACTAATTGTACTACCATACACATTTTTATTCAAAATAAAAAGAATTACCATTTTTAATCCGGTATGGCCACGTAAACTGTAATCTAAACTTTTTGTCTATTTTAATTTTAAAATAGCTGTTCAATTTTCTTTAAGAAAAGCGGTATTGATATTTGCAAGTTAATTTGTCAAATCACTTTCATAGCAGTGTTACCACATTATTTTTCCAAGAATCTGACATGACCATAGATTCTTATCTATGGTCATGTCATGCAGCGACACCCTTATTGGACGCGTTTTTAGGGACACTTTTCATATATAGAGATGGTCCTCCTTGTACTCTACACTCCATAAATCTTTTGTGGAATCTATGGAGTGTAGAGGAGAAGGAGAACGAAGGTTATAAGAAGTTATAAGGTGCGAAATTTGAAAAAGTGTCCCATTATATACTGAAAATAGAAATTCCAAAACCTACCACACCAAGTGTATAGACATGACTGAAATCAAAATCTAATTAATTTTTACTAATATATTCTAAATTCCTGCAGAAAAAATATACTGTAAATATAATAAATTCCTGTCCGTTACATAAAAAAAAAACAAGCATGATGCGCAATGATAGCGCCTGTTAAAAAAAAGTAACATTTCTTAAATTTTTCCTTCGAAATTTTTTTCTGGCGCAGCGCACTCCAACATATCATCAACATCATCATTACAGCACATCACAAGTCTACTGCTGAAACTATGCCTCCCCCAAGGAATGCCACAAAGCACGGTACTGTGCCACCTGCATCCATCGACTTCCTGCATGTTTTACCAGGTCGTCACTCCATCTAGTGGGTGGTCGCTCTACACTTCACCTATCGTTACGAGGCTGCCACTCGAAAACCTTTCTTCCCCATCGTTTGTCGATTCTTCGTGCTATATGGCCGGCTCATTGCCACTTCAGCTTACTAATCCGTTGAGCTACGTCGCTCACTTTATTTCTACTGCAGATATCCTCATTCTAAGTTTATCATCCAGTGAAACCCCGAGAACCCTCTTCATAGCTCGCTGAGCGACCTTGAGGTTCCTCATACGGCCAGCAGTGAAATACCACGTTTGAGTTCCTGTCTCCATCCCTGGCAACACGCAGTGGTCGTACAGTCTAGTTTTCAAGTTTTGAGGTATACCTGACGAGAAGATGTGTCGTAATTTCCCGAACGCTGCCCAGCCAAGTTGAATCCGTCGATTGACCTCTCGGTCAAAGTTGGACTTATCTAGTCGGACTGTTTGTCCCAGGTAAACATATTCGTCAACAACTTCGAGCTTAGTGCTCCCAACAACTAACGGCATAGGTGTGACATGGACGTTATACATGGTCTTTGTTTTGACCATGTTCATCTTAAGACCTATCCGTTGGGAGGCATTATTAAGGCCACTGAGCATAGTGCTTAGGTCCTTCAGCGATTCCGCAATAAGAACTATATCGTCAGCAAATCGAAGGAGAGTGATGCCATCACCATTGATGTTAATACAGTATCCTTTCCAGTCCAGTAGTTTGAAAATGTCTTTTCGTCATCGGTGAAGAATTTTGGGGATATAACGGTACTCTATCTTACGCCTCCCTTCAGTTGAATAGGTTTTGTACTCTGGTTCTGTACTCGGATAGTCATCGTAGCCCTACTGTACAAACACTTCAGCACTTCGATATACCGACAGTCCACTTGGCACCGCTGAGGGGATTGCAGTACCACCCAAATTTCAATGGAATCAAAGGCTTTCTGAAGAGTGGCAAATCGTGGCGGTCTTCTGTACAATTTGCCTAAGGGTATGTTTATGGTGTTAAAGCCTTTTCGGAAACCAGCTTATTCGGGAGGCTGGAAGTCGTCGAGTCTGCGTGCGAGACGATTCGTAATGACTCCCGAAAACACCACGTAGATGCGGCTCAGAAGGGAAATCGTTCTGTAGTTCTTCAAGAGAGTATTGTCGTCTTTCTTGAAGAACGAGACCACCGCACTTCTGCTTCATGCCTCCGAAGTAGTGCCACAATGGAGGACGGAATTAAAGAGCTTCTGAAGGACCTCAAGTACTGGTTTTGCACCCGCCTTCAGAAGGTCCGCTGTAATTCCATCCTCGTCCGTTCTAATCTCGCTCAGACTGACGTCCGGGATATCACCGGAATAGTGTCGGATAAGACTTGCTCTTGGATCGTTACTCACACTTGCGTGTGGCTCTAATGAGGATGTCGTCTGTGAAAGTGAATTTTATCTGTATAATAGTAACAAAATATTTAGAAAAACAGTTACAATTAAATTTCGCGTGTGGAATGTTAACGTGTGAGAAATTCGATCAAAAATGTGATAACTTTTCTGTTTTTATACGTTATTTCTAATGTTATTGTACATCAAACTAATTGTGAAGATATTTTCTTTAGTAAATATGTATCATTACGACATTCCAAAACGTTTAATTTAGCTCTAAATAATCACTATACGCGATCATCGTTTATTGATTATAATATTGTTTAAAATGTATTCTAATCAGTTTTTTGTGTTAAATTAATGCAAAATATAAAATAATGATTCACTTTTAACACGTTGATAGCAATTTATAAACGAAATATCTGTTGAGATGTGTCTAGAAATTATTAAAACATATTTTTTTTCATTTTTCAAATTTATATTGGGTATTTCAAATTTATATGGGGTAAACATTATATAGTTATGTATATTAAGTATATAAGATGTTATTAATAAAAAATAAATACGATATTTTTGATATTCCCATTTTAAGCTTTATTTTCAGGCTTTATTTTTCATTTGACTAACTTTCTTTTAACAAAATAAAATTTCGTCGGTCGGTCGTAAAAAATAGTGACATTTAATTCGCGGACAGGTCAGGCGAGAATCACTCGCGCGGGGCGGACGGTTGAGTGGCTAGCCGGACAGGATAATAGCTATTATTTATTCTGTGATTATAGTGTCCAAGTAGATGCACAAGAACAGGTGCACTCTCTACCACTCTCTTAATTCGACGGGACGCGAGGGAAGACTGAAAACTTTTAAGACTGAAAAGAGATTAGGCACAGAACCGACAGATTTACTAGCTTTCCGATGAAACACCGCCAACATCCTGATTCCCGGCTATTACTGACAATTTCAGGACAGAAATACTCAATAACTAATTTTTTGATGGATCAAAATCCTTAGTTTCACTTAGTCATAGACTAAGACGAAAAAGTCTTATGCTTATATAATTCAATTAGGTACAAAATTAGTTCCTAATTTAGGATTCCATTTTATTGCTTGTACCTTGTTAATCTTGAACAAATGAACATGTTTGTAAACATAATCTGTGGATCAAGGATCTAGTTTGACGTGTATTTAGTTCTTTAGCGGCATGAAAGTCTAGTCTAGGTGACCGTTATGGCGCATTAGTCGAAAATAAGGTATTGTGCGGGTCACGGGGAGGGCGTGCGTTGTTGGCACGAGCTGATTGACACGTGCGTATCGTTCGCATGCACCAATTGGCTCTCCAGTCGCATTCGTGCAATTCAATTAGAGCGTGATAGTACTCATGCGCAGCTATCTCCTCCATGTTTCATTCAGTGCTAGACTTGCCGTACATGCCGCGACTTGTACATCAAAACAATAACGGTTGCACGGTTATATACTCTTTGGGTTGCACTTTCGCTAGTGTCAAATAATATGAAATTAACCTCAAGGAGGTTATAATATAATATAGGGAGTAAGCGCTTGGAACATTGTAACTGTCCCTCATTTTTTTAGAAAGAGAGGCACCGAGTTTTGTATTTTATCTCCTTCCAACATTGATAAATGTTTACACAAAATAAAAGCATTACCTACGTTTAGACAGTTATTGATTTAAAGTAATATTTTAGACGTATGCTAGAACAATAATCTTACATTTTTTATCGTTAATCATAGTTGAGATATTCCATATTGTATTTCAACTGAGAATATTATTAAGTAATACGAAAAAAAAAACCACTAAAACACGAATGTTCTTTAGCTAAAAACTAGGGGGTGCATTTTACACTATAGATGACAACACTATATTAAAATTTGAAATTGTCAAATGAATGAATATATTGTTTTTTTTTTAAATAGGATAGGGTGACAAACGAGCACACAGTTCACCGGATGGCAAGTGGTTACTGTGGCTCATAGATATCTACATCTATCCTCGTATGCGAATCAAAATGCAGATGCGTTGTCACCCGGGAGGACTAAGATGGAATGCCTTTTTCCAGTAAAAAGGGTCTCCGGTTCCCTACACTCACAACACGAAACACATCAGTGTTGAGCTGCTATTTTACGCTGATGTTCTGTGAGTGCGTGGTCCTTCCCCGGTTGAGCCAACCCATTTGTGCTACAACTATACTACTAATATAGCTGCGGCATGGCTCTACCACGTAGAAAACGTCTTGTGCTAATCATTCGCTAAATCTATGTCGAGTGCACTCACTTAGGGAGCGTTAATTCAAATTTAACTTTTTTTCGGAACAGTAGAAAGAGTTTACAGGTTCTTTTCATCATCCACACGCCAATGAGAAACTTTAATGAAAAGTGTAGGCGTATCCGTCAAAAGACTCTCAGAGACAAGATGGATTGCTCATCATGACGCTGTTAAACCACTGCAAAATAATTTAAAAAAACTAGTATGAACACTCAAGATATATATGATCACAGAGAAACATCAGAGAAAACGTCGAAACAAGAAAAGCAGCATCTACACTCTTACCAGCTTTGTGTGACTTCAGTTTTTTGTGCTATCTTTCCTTTTGGTGTAAAATCCTAAAAGAAGTTAGTCAGACACAAAAGTAAATACTAAATAATAATCTAGATTATCACTGGAAAAGTATGTGATAAAAATCTAAGTCCAAAAATTTTTCTTCAAAGCCAACGTATTCAACTAGTGGAAAAAGCTATTTCCTACGTAACAAAAAATTGTGAGAATGTGGGCATTTTGATTGAAACAAGAAGAGGAATGTGGAGATTTCGAAAACGTTTACCAGGAGAAATGACCCGCTATGCTGGACTAACATTGCCAGAGGAGCTGCAGCGAGATATGTTAGAATGTCTTGACAGATTTTCCGAGGAACTAGACCATCGCTACAGAGCAATGGATGATATTCTCGTAACATTTAGTGTTGTTCAGTCTTACACTCTGCTAACGTCACCCGATGAAGA